CAAAGAAGGCCTTGCGGGCCCGCTTCCGCCGGCCCTTGTCACAACAACAACAAACATCAAATAAACATTCATCAAATATGTGCGTCCAAGCGACACACAATTTTTTCTCTTTGTTTTTTCTAATATAAGATATGGGAAAAGATGAAGAAGAAAGAAAATTATCACAGCATCTTATAAAACTAAAATGTCTTCTATTTATTTAAAACTAAAATTTAGAAATCATAATGATTTATCAACTAGTTACATTTCAGTATAATAAAATACTACTAATACTTTAAATGATATTAAAAATCATTTAATACATAAATACTTTAAACGATATTAAAAATCATTTAATTCATTTTACTGTACTGAAATTTCCTCATCGGGTGATATAAATTATTTTGTATTTTTTGCCATCTATGCCAAAATTTTTACAGCTTTCCCTGTTATTATTAAAATGCCTTTTCAGAAAATTTACGAGAACTTCTGGAAAGAAAGAGAAACTGATTAATTGCGAAACCACAATGAGAAATCTAACATTTCCGTGGATTTGAGAAAAGCATTAGTCGCTCAGCGGACATTCCTTCAGAAATGTGTAACATATCTAGCGCAGAAATTCTCATGCTGTTGCCTCTTTATTGATTCCCATTCTCTGCATTGGGCTAAGGCATTGCGTGGGTGAATGTAATTAATGACAAAATGATGCGAGGGAACTTGCGGAATAATGCCGTAATACCGAATGAAAATTCCGGAATGGAAAGTGTCAGTCATCGCTAGGCTCAGTTTACATCGTTTTCGTGTAATCACTTTCAAGTCGTAAACTCCAACGCGAACAGAAAACTGCATTCCAGAATTAGAAGGACCTTTTTAAAAAGAAATATTCTGTTATAGATGGGTGTCATAGTTACAGATTTAAACTATGCATATTCCAATTCCCATTCCAGGGAAAGAAATATAAAAAACATGTTTCCAATTGCATTTGTGGAGCATCGTTTACTGTGAATCAATACTTTTCAATAATCTTAAATATAATAGCGAGTCTAGATTTCATTAAGAATATATTTTTCTAATCAAAGTGTTGCGAAATGTATCGCGATGTAAATATAAATGTACATAAATAAAATGTAAAATATTAATAAAACATAAATTAATATAGATAAAATGTAAATAAATGCAACTAAAATGTATACAAATATAAATAAAAGGAAATACATATAAAATTGCGTTGCTGAAGTACATAACGTACGGAGTTAGAAATAATATTTATAAATTATATTAACGGCATAAATGTTATAATAAATATAATTATAATGACCCCCTTTTCTTTCAGATATATGCGCGCGTGGTCAAAAGCAGTGTCGCAACCGAAACTGTGTAAGCTACCTCTTAGTCTGTGATGGAAATGACGATTGTGGTGACGGCACAGATGAAGAAAATTGTGCACGTAAGTTACCGCCTTATTTATATTTTAGCCTTATTTATATTGACCAGGTTGTTGCTGTTCATAAAAGCTCTCTTACCAGTTAAAACGGAAAACTCTTATAGCATGCCACCCTTTAAGAAACCAACACATTTTTAAAAAAAAAAATTAATACGTTTTTTATTGAAAAAAAATTCGAATCCTTTCGAAAACGTTGCAGACCTATCAGTATTAAAACTCTGTTATTCTTACGGAATAAACTTATCTTCCGATTTTCCGGGGCTGGATTACTAGGATTCTAAATAAAACGCTACGAGTTCTTTTATTGCAGAACAATGGGAAAATATCTATCACAACCATCAGCGTGAAACAAAAGTATCTGTGAAAGATATTGGGATATTAGCAGTGATAGCAGACGATGCCTATTCACAAGAGTTACTGATTTAATTCTATAACAGTAGGGTTTCCGAGCCAGGGATGCGAGGTAGCATTCTAAGAGGTGCAAAATATTATTCTCCTTTTATGTTTAAAATAAATTAAATAAGTATTTAAAAATTACATACACGATACTGGTGCGCGGTCAAAAAGTATTTCCTGCGCATGCGTCAATAACAGATTTAACACCCATATTGTTAACGTCAGTGTGTGACATATGCCTTTTGAAAGAATGCCCGCACAGTCACAATATTGTATGCTATGGTTTGCTCGATTCGAAATTTTTTCTACGTACAAACTCTAACAGAAAATATGGAAATGTGGATCAGTATTCCGCCATGTTGTGGGTCAAAGGAAAACGTCTTAAAGGCCTCTGTGAGCGTAACCCTGCCTCAGAACAAGCGCCGCCTGATCGTATTGTAAAGAATTAGAACAAGAATTAACGGATACTAAAATGTTTTGAAAGGACATTATGGATTAATTTGTTCGAAAAAAAAAATCTTTGTGTTTTTTACAAAGAGGCATCCTCAGCGTAACCCGCCAGAACAGCGCCGTCAATGTGGACATAACCACGGAGTATAGACGTGGTGTTGTGTGGGTTGAATAGTCGACAATGACCGTTGGGGGTTCGACCTGCGAAAATCATCCTATCTTGCCTCGCATTTGTGATCCTTGGCCTTGCAGAGCCTTCATTTCGTCGCAATTCCTTGTAGCACATTGCTGCCACATCTTTGCACAGCAGTGTCTGTACGCTGCGTGGCGGCCTATTGCTCAGTATGACCACCCAGCTTCACGCAACCCTACAATGCGACCAGATTCGAAGTCGTTTAGTTGTCTGCAAGGTATTCGATATCGTCGTAATGGTATCTTTAGTTGCTTCTTTACGGAATTACATTGGCAGCAACAAAAAGAGATAAATTCTCCGCCTCTGTTACTGGTTTTATAATTTGCGAAATGCGCGCTTTGATCGCAATTCCTGTTCGTTTGCCTTGAAACTTCGATCATTTGCATGTTCGATAAAGATGTTTTTGAATACCAAATTTCGTCACGATCGCAAAAGTCCTTCTTGGTGCTTCGATTTTTTTGCAAAAGCAAAAGAATGTATTTGATTCTTAGGATTTCGCGAACCAGATTTAACAACTGTGGCATTAGATGCATATTAGCTACCATAGCATCAGCCACCATAGTTAACATTTCAAAGAACAATGAAAAATAACACTCGACTGCTATACCAACTAGAATTAGGTTCATACCAAAGCGTGATATGAGTGGATATGTACTTTGTATTGCCCTAATGATGGAACATTCACTAGAAGGAGAGTAGGATCACTAATACAAGTCGTGAACCTATAGAAAGACCGTAAAGTAGCCTGCAGAAAGCTGAAGAAGTTACAGAAACGTGTTATATTAGCTACAACTATCGAATTGAACGTAGCTGAATGAAGTTCATGCACACAGGTTATTCGTGTCCATTGATTCGGTCATTCCGTCCGTGAAAATTTTGGCATATTACAGGTACCATGTACAAAAGTGAGCGTAGTATTAGTGAAGTGGAAACGTAAGGGAGTTATAAAACACAAGCTTTGACCGGCAAACACAGGAGACATAGTCACTGGGCCTGTTTCGTTATTTTTGTTTCAACTTTTTTGGGTCTTATTGCCAGGTGTTGGACTCGAGACCACAGAATGCGGAGTGCCTGATATTGCTCCTGTAGCTCTTTCAGACTGGGACCGAATAGTTGGTGGCGAAGAAGCTGTGGCTGGAAGTTGGCCTTGGATGGCGGATCTGCAGATGAAATTGATTGAACCAAACGGTCATACTTGTGGTGGAGCCCTCATCAATTCACAGTGGATCTTGACTGCTGCACATTGCTTCCAAGATGCAATGTAAGTATTTCTTTATGAAAAAATTCAAGCACTATTCAATATTCGAATATAATTAAAAGTCTTTTTTTATGTAGATTGTATCAAAAATAATCGAACTGGATTGATTCAGTTACTGAAAGTAATTTTGTTACATTTCTGAATTTCATACCATAGGGTTGATATGAAAGGAATGTCTGTCAGATTAGAACTTCTTTACTACTAATAATTACATAAGCAGCTCTCTTTTAAATACATGGCTACTATTCCAAATAAGCACCATCAATTTTGTGTCATAAGCTAGTCCCAAAGACTTATGTTCTCCATCTTGGTTTGGTAGCCAAGGGGTTCGACTTCTCATCGTCTTCAAAATTTATTCTCTACCATTTTCATACATCTTCCGTTTGCTAGCTTCAGATGTCGTTTTGGCATGACACCTGAATACAAGCGTGGTTTTAATATAGCCTTTATAAATGAAAAATATTTCCTTGTTTCCATTGTATATCCATATTTCTTCAAAAGCAGTCACGTACATGCATTAGTTTTCTTAATTCTAATCTCAAAATATGCACACTAGTGTATACTGTATTTTCTGGCATTCAGTGTCCCATCGATGACATGAAGGCGACCAATACCATCTGCTGACATGCATGACATAAGGATTACATAAGGATAACCAGATCATCGTGCAGTCGTAAGAACTTTATGCAGAAAGCTATCAAGTCTGAGAGTTATGTCATTCCACGCAGCATACCATTATAGTTAATTTCTAAAATTATATAGAGACACATTACTTATAATAAATATTTAAAAGTAATATGCACAGCTCTTAATAATGTCTTATTAATTCAGCTGTTAATAATTGATAATATTTATATCATTACTGTAATAATAAATGGTGATTGTCACTTCATTTTCTGAATTGTGTTATAACTATTAAAAATTATTGGTTACCCATTCGTTAGATGTACTTTTTCCAGCTGTGTATGAAAAATCTTAAGGCACTGCATTCTAACACAGCTTCGAATTGTGTGATACCATTTTTTATTACGAATAAATGGAAAGAAAGTTTTATTTCCTATTCGAGATAGAGAGAAAAAATTAATTATATAGCTGTTTACTTTGCAAAAAAAGAGGTAAACATTTTGCCTTGCAGTGGAAAAGGGAAGTGGGAAACTAAAGCATTAAAAATTCTAAACCTTCTAAATTAAAAGTTTATTAAATCTTCTGCAGTAAATATGTTAGAGCTATAAAAGTATTAAAACTCGCAGCTTAATACGGCTTCTTTTTTCAAAATCTTTACTTGAAGAGTTCTCTCCATTTATACATATCTTATTTATGCGGCTTTCACATTTTTATATTTTTTTTTTACCTCTGTCGATTCATTCTTAATGATGTTAATAGTTAGTTGTTTCATTTTTACTGCATCTAACTTCGATTATATGTCAATTTTTCTCTAATTTGATCGTCGAATTTCTTTTTGCAGTTCAAATATGTTTCTCGAAAGTCAGTTTTTATTTCGGTATTCTTTGGAAACTGAACCTTGAAATATGAAAAAGAAAATAATATCGTTTTGACTTGTTATTTATTCTGAAATTACAAAGCAACTCATAAATAAAGCTAGGACACTGAACTTGAAAATTTGAAAACGAATAGAGGAAAAGTGTGATGATCAGAATCGCAGCAAATAAACTTTAGCAACAGCAAATAAAACTGAAACTAACTCCTAAAATCCTGAAAAATAATAAAAGATGATAAAATAAGTAACTGTTAAAAAACATTTTCTGCAGTTTCACCGTATAATATTAAAGCTAATATATTCTTCAGAATTTTGTATTTAGTTAGCTAGTTTTAGTAGAATTAAAATTGTTTTATATCCCCGTGCAAATGCAGCACGAGACATGTTTTAAGAGCAAGCTACGCCGGAAAAGTAAAAATACAAGAGCACGCGCATTTAACATTTAATAAAATAGATATCTCGTAATTTATATTTAAATTGAATAAATGACTACTGTGTTAGCTGTAACCGTAATTCTACTGTTTTGCTTTCCGAAAATCTCGAGAAGTAGAAATTACGAGAACTTTCTCGCGACGGATTAAAAAGTTTTAAAAAGCCGGAGAGAGACATCTCAGCTCAGTTGTTTAGTGAGCTGCCGTTGTTTACTTAGCTGCTGTAATTTTGTTGATCGAGTTAGCTTTCTCTGCGCTTTGGATTGCGTTCTGTTTAACGTTTTAATAGTTTAATATATACTACTGTTTATATTGTGTGATAATGTGATTATTGTACGAATATCTTTGAGGAAAAATCCAGCGTTCTGTTATATTTTTTGTGATAAGCATAAATTTTATTAACTTTGTATCGGACTTGTGCATTCAATCTATCACAAACCCGTACGCGCGCAACAATATCAAATAATTCAATATTGTTAGATAACTGAGTTACATGGTCAACAATAAACATTTAATGATTCAGTCAATGATAATATTCGACTCTTAAAAAACTTGATATATTCTTTTTCTAATTCAGAATTAACTGTTGACATGATAAATTCCTAAAGAACAGTAGCTGAATCCCTAAAATAATATTTGACTTTGAAATAAGCAGTTCTGCAAAAACTTTTTCTACGATTTTATCGTGTAACTTAATTATTTAATTAACTTAATAGCTGCTTTCTTTCCATAAAATATACACAAAAAAGTGCCTATTTTTTATACAGCTATCTAAATCGAGGAAATTCCAAAGATCAGAAGCCAGAACGAAAAGGGCTCAAACTTTTTTAAACAGTTTAATATATTTTTGTATTTAATTGTCAATTAATTTTTATTCAATACAGGGCAATATTAGCTATATCTATGCACATTACAATAAGCAAGTAAAGCTTGCTGTTTAATTTTCAAACGACAAGACATACAATACGTATTACTAATGTTTATTTCTTTACATCATATAACTGCAACATCAAATTACAACATATGCTGGTAATGTCAGCTCTGTTCGGTATTGTCTGCGCGTCTGTTCTCTGTCAATATTGTCTGTTTAATATTGTTTTCACCATGTTTATGGGCAATTTCTGGAGCACCTATACATTCATATTATTAATCGCCATTGTAAATTTCCTCTGTAAGTCTTCCTGTGTATGCGGATTATTTGTGTAAATTTTTAAGCATCCCCAACAGGAAAAAATCTTCGAGTGACAAATCAGGTGAAGCTAGTTGCCGAAAAACTAGCGTAAGAGCAGCCTAATTTCGTTCGTTATCTAACAGGTATAGGTATAAGTGAGCGGAACATAAGAATTCCATCATTGGTCGTACAGGTAGAGGTTCCACAGCACTAACAATGCAGCTCCACCCCAACTCTAATGAATAGCATCTCCCATTCTTTATCCATTACCACCAAAACATTCGACAGGACTTTTGATTGGCCACTGCCGCACAGATACTATATGCTTACGCATCCATGCCTTCTCTGGAACTCGAACTCGGGTCCATTGATATTGTACTGAGGCTGTTACCACATTTTTAGACAATTTTGTTTTGCTGTAAGAAAGGTTTTCTGCTTTGAATTGTTTTAATTGTAACTATATTTTTAAAAGTATGAATTATCGTCTTCCACTTGACATTTTTGTTTTCATGCAAAATGGCACTTTTAAAGAAGCACTGGATGGGAGAGTATGATTGGACTCTTTCTGAAGAAAATTAGTCGTATCTAGTTATTAAAAAACGCTGTGAAAGCTATGGGTTTTCGATATCTAAAGCTACGATAGGTACTATTGTCAACAAGAAAGAGAGAAAAAGTCAAAGTTTGGCTTCAAGTGGAAAAATTGTTCCAAGTACATATCTAAGGAAAGAACAGAATGTTTAGAATGTTGAAAAGTTAACATCTTTTACCTTAAAAGAAAATCCTCAAAGTCAAAAGACAGTTGCAGAATCATTAAAATGCTCAGTGTCAACTGTAAACAAAATGAGTAATACTAATTTAAATCCTAAAAAGTCGAAAAAACGTAATTTGTGTCGTCTTTCTTCACCCGGACAAAAATGGAAAAGTGTTGCCACGATAGATGAATCTTGGATGCATTTAAATAACTGTAATAAAATGAGATCCATTTGTTATTATTAAAAAGGAGGGAAAAGTCTTAAAACATGATTCAAAGACTCTAAAGTACTTCATACTCTCTAAGATTTTCAAAGGGATTTATGATTGCTACTGGTTTGTCATATAACGCAGATTAAAAATAAAGAGAGTGAAGAAAAATGTTAAAACCAACTCCATATATTATCAGGAACATATTCAAATATGACAAATATGACATATTCAATTATAACAAATGCTCAAATATGAAATACCTTCTGTTTACCCATAGTGCCATCAATCAGTAGAACTGCATCAAGTCAAAGCGAGCAGCCACAGGTCAAAATCCACTGTTAATTTCTTGAAACAAATGGAACAAGAAATGGGTATCAAGGCCATACCCTTCACTTATATTCCTGCTAAATCTCCTGGTATGTCACCCATGGACTTTTGCGCTTTCAGACTTTTAAAAAGTCATTGTCCAAACGTCGACCTACAATCCTCCTTGGACTTCGGAAAGCTGTTCAAGAGGAATGGGATAAAATACCTCTTTCGGTACTATAAAAAAAAAGGCTTTACAATCTTGAAAATAATGATGTAGAAACATAGTGAAGAATAAAAATTATCAAATAGAACATTCAAAGCACAAAACGTTTTGGTAAAATATTTCTGCAAATACAATAACAGTCGTCTAAAAATGCGCGAACAGCTTTTGTACTCACCGTCACTAACCGCTATATCGTCTGGCACCGTCTTGATAGAACCAACTGTTCATGTTCATGTTCATGTTTTTTCATGTTCATCGAATTCAAGAAGAATTGTGTACTGATATCTTTGTATAATGCGCAATTCACTGTGTTTTCAAACACCATTCAACAATGCAAAGAGCAACACAATACTGTTTAACAATGAAACTTCGTTACTTGGTAACATATCTGCCTAGCAACACAAACAT